TTCTGAAGTCGGTGCCGATGAGGGCATTGGCGTAGGCGCAGGCGTTGGAACTGGCGTTGGTTCTGGCGTCGACGGTGTAGGCGCTGGCGCTGGGGCCGGCGTAGGTGCAGGCGATGGTGCTGGAGTCGATGCCATCGTATGCGCTGGCGTTGATGCCGGCACTGGCGTTGGAGCTGGCGACGGTGCTGGTCTAGGCGCCGGCGTTGGCGCCGTCGTTGGTGCAGGCGTCGGCGCTGGCTTCGATGCCGGCGTTGAGGCCAGCGAAGGCGCTGGCGTCGGTGCTGATGTAAGCGATGGCGTTGGTACCGGTGCAGGTGCCCACGACGTTGCTGGCCTATGAGCTGGCATACGCGCTGGCGCCGGTGTCGGCCCAGGCGCAGGCGCGGGTGCTGGCGTCGGTGCTGGCGTAGGCCCATGCCTGGGTGCCAGCGTAGGCGCAGGCGTTGGTGCTGGCGACGGTGCTGCTGCAGGCGCTGGCGTGGGCGTCGGTGCTGGTGCTGGCGTCTGTGCTGGCGTAGGCGCTGGGGTCGGTGTTGGTGCGGGCGCCAGCGTTGGTGCCGGCGTAGGCGCTGGCGACGGTGCTGGCGTCGATGCCGGCGGCAGTGCTGCTGCAGGCACTTGCACTGGTGCCGGCGTGGACGTTGGCGTTGGTGCCGGCGTGGGCGCTGGGGTCGCTGGCGTCGGTGCTGGCGTAGGAAGCGGTGCTAGCGTCGGTGCTGGAGTCGGTGCTGGAGTAGACGCTGGCGTTGGTGCTGGCGTAGGCGCAGGCGTTGGTGCTGGCGTCAATGCTGGTGGAGACGCTGGTGTTGGTGCCGGTGCAGGCGCCGGCGTCAGAGTTGGCCACGGTGCTGGCGTCGATTCTGGTGTAGGTGCTGACGACGATGCCGGCGTAGGCGCTGGCGTCGGTGCTGGAGTCGGTGCTGGTGTAGGCGCCAGCGTTGGTGCCAGCGGAGGCGCTGGAGTCGGTGTTGGCGTCGGTGCCGCTGCAGGCGCTTGCGTTGGTGCCGGCGTAGGCGCTGGCGTTGGTACAGGCGTAGGCGCTGAGGTCGGGCTGGCGTAGATGCTGGCTTCGGTGCTGGCGCAGGCGCAGGCGTTGGTGCTGGCGTCAGTCCCAGTGGAGGAGCTGGCGTTGGTGCCAGCGAGGGCGCAGGCTTTGGAGCTGGCGTCGGTGCTGGTGTGGACGCCAGCGTTGGTGCTGGCGTCGGCACTGGCGCTGGTGCTGGCGTCGGCGCTGGTGTAGGCGCTGTTGGTGCCAGCGTAGGCGCCAGCGTCGGTGCTGGCGTCGATGCTGGTGTAGGCATTGGCGTTGGCGCCAGCGTAGGCGCTGGGGTCGGTGTTGGCGTCGGTGCTGGCGTCGGTGCTGGCGTAGACGCAGGCGTTGGTGATGGCGTAGGCGCAGGCGTTGGTGCTGGCGTTGGTGCTGGTGCAGGCGCTGGCGTTGTTGCCCGCGCAGGCGCTGGCGTGAGCGCTGGCGTCGGTGATGGTGTCATTGTTGGTGTAGGCGCTGGCGACGGTACCGGCGTAGGCGGCGTAGGCGCGGACGTTGGCGTTAGCGTCGGCACTGGTGCGGGCGCCAACGTTGGTGCCAGTGTAGGCTCCGAAGTCGGTGCTGGCGTCGGTGCTGGCGTCGGGGTGCTGGCGTCGGTGCTGCTGCAGGCGCTTGCGTCGGCGTCGGCGCTGGCGTTTGTACAGGCGTAAGCGCTGAGGTCGGTGCTGGCGTCGGAGCCGGCATCGGTGTTGACGTAGATGCTGGCTTCGGTGCTGGCACAGGCGCAGGCGTTGGTGCTGGCGTCAGTCCCAGTGGAGGCGCTGGCGTTGGTGCCGGTGCAGGCGCCCGCGTGAGATCTGGCCACGGTACTGGCGTCGGTGCTGGTGCAGGCGCTGACGACGGTGCCGGCGTAGGCGCTGGCGTCGGTGCTGGCGTCGGTGCTGGTGTAGGCGCCAGCGTTGGTGCTAACGTAGGCGCTGGCGAAGGTGCTTTCGTCGGTGCTGGCTTCGGTGCTGCTGCAGGCGATTGCGTTGGTGACGGCGTGGACGTTGGCGTTGGTGCCGGCGTAGGCGCTGGGGTCAGTGCTGGCGTCGGTGCCGGCGTCGGTGCTGGCGTAGACGCAGGCGTTGGTGATGGCGTAGGCGCAGGCGTTGGTGCTGGCGTTGGTGCTGGTGCAGGCGCTGGCGTTGTTGCCCGCGCAGGCGCTGGCGTGAGAGCTGGCGTCGGTGATGGTGTCATTGTTGGTGTAGGCGCTGGCGACGGTACCGGCGTAGGCGGCGTAGGCCCGGACGTTGGCATTAGCATCGGCCCTGGTGCGGGCGCCAACGTTGGTGCCAGTGTAGGCGCCGAAGTCGGTGCTGGCGTCGGTGCTGGCGTCGGTGCCAGTGCAGGCGCTGGCGTATGCGCGGACGTCGGTGCCAGCGCCGATACTGGTGTAGGCGCCAGCGTTGGTGCCAGCGTTGGCGCTGGCGTCGGTGCTGGCGTCGTCGGTGTTGGCGTCGGTGCTGCTGCAGGCGCTTGCGTTGGTGCCGGCGTAGGCGCTGGCGTCAGTACAGGCGTAGGCGCTGAGGTCGGTGCTGGCGTCGGAGCCGGCATCGGTGTTGACATAGATGCTGGCTTCGGTGCTGGCGCAGGCGCAGGCGTTGGCGCTGGCGTCAGTCCCAGTGGAGGCGCTGGCGCTGGTGCCGGTGCAGGCGCCCGCGTGAGATCTGGCCACGGTACTGGCGTCGGTGCTGGTGCAGGCGCTGACGACGGTGCCGGCGTAGAGGCTGGCGTCGGTGCTGGCGTCGGTGCTGGTGTAGGCGCCAGCGTTGGTGCTAATGTAGGCGCTGGCGAAGGTGCTTTCGTCGGTGCTGGCCTCGGTGCTGCTGCAGGCGATTGCGTTGGTGACGGCGTGGACGTTGGCGTTGGTGCCGGCGTAGGCGCTGGGGTCGGTGCTGGCGTCGGTGCCGGCGTCGGTGCTGGCGTCGGTGCTGGAATAGACTCTAGCGTTGGTGATGGCGTAGGCGCAGGCGTTGGTACCGGCGTCAATGCTGGTGGAGGCGCTGGCGTTGGTGCCCGTGCAAGCGCCGCCGTGCGAGCTAGCCACGGTGCCAGCGTCGGTGCTGTCAGAGCTGGAGTCGTGGCTGGCGTCGGGGCAGTCGGAGCTGCCGTCGCAGCTAGCTTGGGAGCTGGCGGAGGCTCTGAAACTGGCGCAGGTACTGGCGTAGTAGCTGGCGTCGGTGCTGTCAGAGCTGGACTCGTAGCTGGCGTCGGGGCAGTCTTCGGCGCCGGAGTCGGCGCTGGCTTCGTAGCTGGATTCGGCGCTGTTGTCGTAGCTGGCGTCGTAATTGGAGTCGGCGCTGGCGTCGTAGCTGGCGTCGGTGCCGCCCGAGTAGATCGGACCGGATGCGTCGCATCGCCAATGCATCGGCGATGCGGCTCGATGTGGAGCCCGGTGGTCTCCACGCCGCCGTCGCCTGCGCATCTCGGGGGCGGAAGAGAAGGGGGTGATGACTAGGGGGGGGTGATATCATGGTGTGGGCCATGATATTTCCCGCATGGCGCCTCTTCTTATTTCATTACGTCCCCGGCCCCCCCGCTGGGCCGCGCACATGCCGCTGGTCATGATTTGCACCCCCCCTCTTGGACACTTCCCTCCTGGCCGCTCCCGAGCATCGCTGACAGCGCCCGTGCAGCGGCGATGCGGCGAGAGCCTTCGACCCCATCCGCGCCGGCCCCACCTCTTGGCATCGCTCGGACGTGTGCATTTTTTCCTCGGCGAGGACCATCGAGGAGCATCCTTGATCATTCGGCGAAAAAACCACGCACGAAACCGAAAAACACACAGGGGATGGACGTCCAAGCGGTGGCGAGATCTGAGAGGCCTCCGCGTGCCCCTGCTGGGCCCTGGGGCCCACGGATGGAAGAGACGACGTCGTCGGATGTGTGCGCGTGTGTGGATGACTCCGGTGGCACAACGTTGCTCATCGCCTTCATGGTGCTCCTCTCCCTCCTGGACGTCGAGCTGGTCAAATGGCACGTCCTCCTCTGCAGTGCTTGAGGCTGGTGTTCACGACGTGCCGTTGACGGCAACACCACATCACCCTCCAGATCTTCGCCTCCGGCCCCTGTCCGCGGTGCAGCCGCCTGAGGCCCCGCCCGCCTGTGCCCTATCTCCCCAATTAGAGCTGTGCGTGGCCCGCTTAGCTTTTAGCGGAAGAGGTTCGCTCTCGCCCCGCCGACCAAAAGCGTGCGTGGATGATTTTTTCACAGTCAACGTAAGCCCGACCCCCACTGCTGAGGACCTCTGAGACATGGGTGCCCGCGCACCCCGGGAAGCCCCGAAGGTGCGTCGTGCCATCAGGAGGGGAGAAAACACACACACACACACACACACACACACACACACACACACACACACACACACACACACGCACACACACACACACGCACACGCACACGCACACGCACACGCACGCACGCACGCACGCACGCACGCACGCACGCACGCACGCACGCACGCACGCACGCACGCACGCACACAATCACACACACACGCGCACACACACGCGCACACACAGACACAATGAATCGTGAATCCCCAGGAAAAGATTACAACATATTGGAAGTGTGGGGGGGGAGACGAAAAATGCAGAACATATGGGGAGATATGGGGGACCTTGGGATTTTTATCGATTTCGTTGTGTCTCCCTGGGCCCGTTTAGTGAGCGGGGGCGCAAGGAGAATCGGGCTGTGCGCGCGTCGCAGTCTTGGCCTGAGCGGCCGCCCTTTATCCAGGGTGGCGGCGAAGGGGCGCGAAGGCAATTGCGCGTCGCCACGGATTGAAGAAACGACATCGTCGGATGTGTGTGTGCGTGCGTGTGTGGATTAGCGGGGGCGCAGAAAGAATCGCGCATCGCGCGCGTCGCAGAGTTGGCCAGAGCGGCTGTCCTTGCTCCAGGGAGGCAGCGGAGGGGGCGCCAGGCCGCGAAGGCAATGGCGCGTCAAGCAGCACGCCACGCGGAGTTAG